TGCTGATTTCCATTTGTGAATGAATCAGCGTAAAAGAAAATTAAGTGCCAAATTAATCTACCCATCTCATTGTAGGCATTAATTATCCTCCGAGCCACTTTCTCCTGTGCTTGCCGCATGTCAAGACAAGCCAGGGTACGATGATACAGAATCCAGTTTTCGGAACGGGGGCTCAACTGAAGCCCCACGTGGAGGAGGGCCTTGATCTGATCTCTAGCTGAGATCAGCCATGTGCTGTGGGAAGGGCTCTAACTTGGGGCAAAGGAAAGGTATTTCTCATCTTTTAAAGGTGTGCTAGTGCTGTCAGGTCAAGGTCATTGGGGCAGCAATAGACAGCATGGTTTTAATAGACCTATTTTCCCAATAGCTCCAGTTAACACAAAAAAAAACAGTGCCAAACTTTCTAACTCATTACCATAGAGTCTGAACTGACTCACAGCTGACCCTCCAGCAGGTTTTCAGAGGCAGTAAATCACATGGAAGGAGACTGTCCTCTTTTTGCCACGCAGAAGCTGGTGGATTCGAACCATGTGCCTTTGGGATCGTAGTGCAGCTACTTACCATCAGGGCAATTTGGAGCCTTAAAAACCTGATAGAGAGTTGTAAGGAGTTGCAATCAACTAGCTGGCAATGAACTTGATTTTTGGTTTGAACCTGTGCTCAGAGAGGGAACCGAGCAAACAGGGTGAGGCAAGCAGGAGCAATGGTGGCCAAGTTTATAGGAAATCTCATTCCTAACCCAGTGCTGCTTCTGTCTGGCAGTTCAAATCCACCAGAAGCTCTGCAACAGGAAGAGGGGAAATCTCTTCCTGTGCAATTGACTGACCTCAGAACCCCAGTGGAGGGCAAGCTAGGGGCCAGGTCTGAATCTAAGGTAATGAGTTTGAGTTAGTCGAAAGAGGAGTTGTGGTGGCCTAATGGCAAAGGACATGAACTGCCAACTTGAAGGCAAGTGGTTCAAATCCACCAGCTGCCATACAGGATAAGATGTGCAATCTCCGACTGCAGTTTCTGAAAACTGAGTAGAACAACAGCTATGAGTCGGTTCTGACTCAATGGCTACATAGCCCATAACAAAGTCTCAAGGCTGGCTGTCCGGACTCACCAAGAAGGACCGCAGAGAAAAGCCCTGGAAACCTGCTTTTGTTTAGAGAGAGCCCATAAAGCTATTCTATTCTGCAACTCGTGAGTTTGTCATGAGTGAAAATTCACTTGATGCCAATGAGTTTGGTGTTTTGGTTTGGGAGCCAGGGCTCAAGGGCTGAGCTTATTTCAAAATGTCAGAATTATTAAAGGAAAGAAGGCCAAGTGCAAGTTGAAATTGTGTCTAGATAATCATTTGCATCAAGAATAAAGGGCTTTGCTTTCTCCGCAGCCAAACCCTGCCCTGCCGTGTTTCCGGGCACTAATGAAAGTAACCAGAGGAAGACTGGCACAGGAGGGACCCTGCTGCAGGGCAGAAAGGGAGGCTTTGAAGTCCCATCATGCCTGCTAATACCACCCCTGAGCTTTCTCAGATGAGCTTGGAGGCCCAACAGACCGGGCTGGCACCTCGAGAGTAAAGGAGGCGGCTGTTAGCTCTCCTGAAAGGGAGCAGAGAATGGGAAACAGAGTCCAAAGGAAACGCTAAAGTGGCTTCCCACCTGCTTGAAAGTAGCAGGCAGGAGAGAAGCAGGCTTTGCACAGAGGCACGTGGGGCCCAGGGGAGGCTAACCTGCATGCCAGGAGCTGGAAAACATTAAGTGCTGGGGAGTCTGAACGAGCCAAAGCAGCTCACTCAGAGTCACTGGCATGGAGATGGAAATGGCGCATGGGAAAGTGGGTGCTTTCGGAGAATGCAATCTCTAGGAAGCAATTTTTCCTTTTTGTCATCCTTTTCCTCTGGGGATATTCAAATTAGTTCTGATGTGGTCATGTTAGTTGGGGGGGTGTGTGTCTCCCACTAGGGGAGTGAGGTTAAAGGTCAGAGCACCTGTAACATGAAATTGCAGAAATTACCCGCTGCCCCCAGCTGCCACTCCCCCATGGCAGTAAGAACGGCTTCCCCAAGATGGATTGAGCAGGACAGAATCAAAGGCAGAAAATTAAAGATGAGATTAATAAAATCAGATGAAAGGAAACACCGCTAGGCAACCTAGCAGCTTAAATTACATTTGTGCTCTCCAATGGAGGAGGGGATCATGAGTAATAAGTGCAGATTCTGGAAAGACATTCTGGGCTAAATAACTTCACGACAGGGCAACGTCAGGGGAAGTCGCTGATTCACCTTCCCGGGAAAGAGTCAAGACAGAGTAGAGAAGTCATCAGTCACAGCGACCCAGGACAAAAGGGGCACAGCCTCTCATACAACTGAAGACCCAGATTCTCAAACAGCGCCTGAGTTTTTTCCAAATCTAAAAACAGACGTGCGGGCAGGCAGCCTCCTCCGCCCAGCCCTCCTGGGTTCTCCTCAGTGTAGGGGGCGCTCGCCCACCACATCCAGACTACAGTGTCAGCAGAAGGACAAGGCTTGTTTTTCCAACAGCATGTGTTCACTTTGAGTCTCATTTTAGTGGGATTTTGCAATTCTGTCTCACATACTTTGGACATGTTGTCTGGAGGGACCAGTCCTTGGAGAAGGACATCATGCTTGGATGAGTGGAGGGTCAGCGCAGGAGAGGAAGACCCTGGGTGGGATGGACTGACACAGTGACTGTGGCAATGGAGCAGGTGTGTCAGAGACAGTGAGGGCGGCTCAGTACAGGGCAGGGCTCAGAGCCACTGTCTGCAGGATCGCTCTGAGTCATACTCGACTTGACAGCACCTCATACAACAACAGTGGTAAAGAGTTGCACTGTGAATACAAAGGCAAACGAATTTTTAATTTACCTATCACTCTCTGGGAGATAGATGGGTAATCTCCTCCTGCGAAATTTATAGCCTCTGAAAACTTGCTGGAGGGTCAACTCTGAGTATGGTAACATCAGACAGCACAGGCAGGAAGGGGTGGCCCTTTCTTAAGCTAAGCAACACCTTGGAACCCCTGTCTTTTTCCAGGGACAAGCACCCCCTGTGCTTGAGGTACCCAGGTTTCAGAACCAGAAGTGTTCTGAGGCCCTGCACTACCCTGAGTCAGACCCCTGCAGCTTCTCCCTTGAGTTCATGCCTCAGCTTGACCCCCTTTCTCTTTAGCTGGGGTTTGCTAGACTCCAGGACTCACTGGCTGCCCGAGGCCCCTGACTATGGTGACATCTACCTCTTCCTCTGTACAACCATTGCTGGCCCTAGACCCCAGCTGTGAAGGTCACCATGGGCCAGGGGTGTGGAAGTGAGGAAGGACCCTCAGAGGAGATGTGTTACTAGAACACCCGGCTCCTTCTAGGACACAGCTGTGTTCACTGCCAGCCTGATCACAGTTCTTCTCTGTACAGCAAGGCCCCTTGAATGCAGTTTAAAGAGAACATAAAGGTGGAGGGACATTGAACCACCACCGCCAGGTTGGTCACAGTAACCCTGTAAGACAGCACTTAGGTTGTGGACCTTTATAGAAGGGCACAGCCTCATCTTTTTCTCAAGGAGGCAGTGGTGGGTTCTAGTCACGGACCATCATGCAGTTAGCAGCCCAATGCTTAATCCACTGCGCTAACAGGGTGCCCTGGAAGAATACTGATGCCAGTAAAATGTCAGCGTTAGAGGTTTAGAAAGACAATGAGGAATCTTATTTGACTTTGATGACGAAAGACAGTGTAAGAAAGGAATGAGATCAGATTCTACCAGAATAAAATGTAAACCCATCAGAAACACAGGGAACCAGGAGCAACAACTGTGTAAATTACTACCTAACATGGGAGGGACTGGAGAGAGCATTATGGTGAGCTAACTCAGTTCCACAAGGACAAATACTGTATAAAACCATTTTTATAGAATGAGTATGAGGATCCAACGGGTGGGAGGTGGAAGCAGAGGGGTGAGGATGGGCGGGCGCTGGTGGGGTGTTAATCACAGGGTTGTATAATTTGATGGGTGGGGGGTGAAGGAAATGGGGAGTATCTTTTGTGAAAAATAATGTATTAAAACTTTGTAAATAAATCAGTATAAAAGAAAAACAATTAAGCATTTTAAAAAGGGAAACACAGGTAACTAAAATCTGCAAATAAAAATTCTCTGCTGTTTAGAGATGAGGAAGCCACATGAAAACACGCACGTTGTCACATCTTCCTTTGTTTCTCTAAAGTTCACTGGCTACACAGCATCCTGTCAGAGCAAGCCATTCAGAAGGTTCCAGGCTTTGATCGTGGGATGAAAGCGCAGGTGTCATCCAAAAGGAATGATGTGCCATTGCGATCTCTAGCCCAGGACCCAGCCCCATCTTCTGGGGCCTGAAACAGCCTCACTGTCCAGACACAGAAAGTTTCTCTGCCCATCACCTTCTACCTCTGCCATCTACAAATGCCTTCCTGCCCAAGTCCTAGAAGGTCACCCATCAAACTGGCCACGGTGAGTGGGAGCAGGAGCCTTTGAGACTGCTTCATTCACCATCACCTCATTTTTTAATACTGAGAATGTACACATGGTCTACTTCAAACGTTAAAATAAATCAATAAATGGCCCAGAAAGAAAAGGAAGTGAATGTTCTAAAAACACAGTCGAGCTCAGCAGGCTTTCTGATGGACTCAGAATTATCTGGAAGACAAACTTCCTAGCTGGCAGAGAGCCACATGACTCAGAGCGAGAACCTGGCATCCAGGACCTCTCGGTGACATCCTCCAGCTTGCTGATGCCAAAGACCAGGAGCCACATCCTCAGTCACCTCCCCCATCCTGGTGGTACTCTGCGCCCAGCAGACAGACCCCTGAGAACCCCCTCAGGACTTGAGAAAGGAACACATGTTCAGCTGGCCTGTCGGGGACTGACCCGCAGCTACCCAGGTAGAAATACAGAAAGCGGGCAGGTGGCAACTGCAGCTGCCAGCGAGGGTCTCCCAGTGACCGCATTGTCCAGCCCGGGCCACGCTCGCTCACCTGCAGATGTAATTGGTCTTGCAGGAGTCCTGCAGGTTCAGGCAGTTGGGCTTTTCCCGCTCCTCGTAGGAGCACACGGGCACGATGGTCTGCCGCCGGCGCTCGGTGCACGCCACGTCCCGGCAGGAGCAGAAGAGCATCCCGTAGCTGTGCTTGGCAGGGACCTTGTCGAAGAACTGCCGGAGCGCCTTGTGGCACTTACGGCGGTTGCACACTTCGTTGGACATGCTGGTGGTGCACGGGGTGATGTACGCGGACCTGTACTTCTTGCAGGTGTCGTCCAGGTTGCAGGCCTTGGCGGCGTCTAGGCAGTTGTTCCCCTTGGGGATGTGCTCCACTGCAGAGGTGGGGAGAGAAGAAAAAAACAAAAAGCATCTGTGACCGCCTGGTTCAGGTAACCTGCCGTGTGCACGGTGAGGGCGTGCCACCCAGCTGGCAGTGCTGGGAGCTTGCACAACTCACCTGTATGTTCCAAAGCAAAGAACTGAACGAGTACCTGGCTAGGAGGAAGTGATGAAGAGTGCAAATGCTGGGACAAGAACAATCAGCCCAGAGGCTCAAGTTCACTGGCAGGTAACAAAGGAAGAACAGAGCGAGGCAACGGGAGCCCTAGTCACTGCCCAACTCCACGCAGACAGGACAACAGAAAGCTCAGAAGTCTCCAGCTCCCAGGTTTATAAACCAAACTGAGGGTAGCAGCAAGCAGCAACAAATTACATACTTGTTCATTATACACTATATAAAATGATATGCTGAGTGCAAGTAAAATTGTCATGCAGTCCTCCAGGAATATAATTATGTAATAAATGCATATAGTACATGCTAATTACTATATGATTATGGAGTAATTACATGGTTACTTGAGCCCAGAAGACAAAATATTTTGCCAGGCTCTCCAAACAGGAAGAGGAAGCACCTACAAGAGATGCTGTGTTTAAGTTCAAGCTCACAGGACACTGGACGGAGACCAGAATAAATTACATGAGAATCTGCAAACCTCAGTTACCACACAGCTCACCACAAATGGTGGGCGGGCTCTACCACCACTGATGTTTCAGGTTAGGAAAAGTCAGTGAAGGTTTTGGGTTGCATTTTCCCGGGCTCACAAACCACAAACTCTGGGACTGGAACAAACATATGCTAGCTTCGCCCAGCTCATCTATGCTCAAAGCGTTAGGGGGAGAGGGGCAGAGCCAACAACCCCTGCGGTCTGTTTGCCATGTGGTCTGGACAGCCAGCCACTGTAGAGGCCAGCCTCACTGGGATATCTGAACCAGCTACCAGGAGAGCAGGTCCCTGGATGATTCTAAAAGGTTGTCTGTAACTGGCTCTTCATCTAAAGGTGGGTGGTCTAAACTCATCCAACGACACTGCAGAAAAAGGACTCAGCAAATCACTTCCATAAAGGTTATAGCCAAGAAAACTCCTCTTTGAAACAATGCTAACACATGGGGTCACTATGCATCGGAACTGACCAGGCAATGAGGGCTCTTCCTTTGGCAAACCCAATGTACCCAACTGAAAAAGAAGACTGGGCAGAAGGAAACTTCTTAATTCTATCCCCATGACACAGATGTTTCTGTAGAGAAGTGGGGTGTTAGAGAGGACTTCCTAGAGCCAAAAGAACAAGTAAACACCTGGAAGGAAGTGAAACCAGGATGCTCCTTAGAGACAAGCATGGTGAAATTTCATCTCACATACTTTGGGCATGTCGTTGGGAGGTGCCAGCTCTTGGAAAAAGACAACATGCTGGGGAAAGTAGAGAGCCAGTGAAAGAGGAAGACCCTCAACAAGAAGACTGATACAGTCATGGCTACAAGTGGCTTGCTGAGCACGGTGGGAACTGGGAAGACCATGTGAGATGAGGGGAGAGTTGGCTCTATTGTCAAGAGGGTTGCTATGAGTTGTAATTGACTTGATGGCACCTAGCAATAGCAAAAAACACGAGAGATGGAGGATTTCATGGAGCAGTTACCTGCAGGAGTAGACAGCAGGAAAACAATGTCCTAGTCCTCCAGCAAGTTCCTGCTCAGGCCTGAGCCCTCTGTGGGATCTGTGACTTCCTTTCATTCTATGTGGATGGAACCAGGATGGCATTCCCGAAATAAAAGGAGGCAGAGAAGTTCCTTCCTCAGGTGATGCAGACAATTAACATGAGCACAACGGTTGGAAGTTCAAGTTTCCAACTCAACAGGGCCTTGGAAGAAAGACGAGGTGATCTGCTTTGGAAAAAGCAACAAGCACCTGTGAGCCCGAGGAAACTTTACGAGCATGTTTTTACTCAGACAAACATGGCATCTGAACGACACCATGGAGATGGACCAGAGAGTTAGCAAAGATAAAGAGGTGAGTCGGGCACCACTGACTTGACAGATGGGTCAGTTGAGTTAATATACATGTAAAGAATACGTACATAAAGTCCAGCATTTCTGAGAAAGTCTCCACCTTCTACAGAAGATACACCTGGATTAAAATGCCCAGTGTGCAAAAATACAAAATTAAAGAATTAATGTAATGGTGCCAGGAGTACTAGAAGTAGAGCTTTGTTTTCATTACAGTTTGGGTGAAATGATTTTTTCCATTCAACAATTTATACACATTGTGTTTGGTGGCACTGGCTACAATCACCTCAGTGGAACAGCATTCTTCCCCCCTCACCCTGTCTTCTCTGGGCCTCCTATCTTCCTTCCTTTGTCCTTCTTTGCTGTCCCTTCCTGTCTCTGATTTTTTTTTGGGGGGGGGAATAAATGCTGCCCTTTGGGTCTCATATAGTTGGTGGTGTAAAGGGGGAGACTCTTGCCTGCCGTGATTACCCATCATGAGTCACAGTTTACTGTGACTCAGGTTCATGTTTCTGCCTGTGACATCTGAGCCCAGAACATTGAATATGGAAGGCAATAAACAAGACAATCAAGGCCTTCTCGGTAAGCAGCACCGCCAGCCAGCATGCAGCTGTGGAGGCTTCCCTGCTGGTTCAGCAAGCTCGCCTGGCGCTCCTCCCATCACACTCTTCCCAGGCCTACCTCTCTGCCTCCTCTTCTCCACACACAGGCTCTTTAGGAAGGGGGGGACTAGTAACCATGTGTCCCATTGTGATTTTATTACCTGAGCTGTGTCCCCCAAAACAGCATGTGGAAGTCCTAACCTCTATATCAATGAATATTGCCTGTTTGGGGAAGCAGAGTTCTTCTCTGTAAAAACATGATCAGTTTCATTAATAAAGTCATTCTAGTAGGGGGTGGGGGTGGTGTATGTCTTAATCCTAATCTCCTCTAGAGGTGTCCAATGAAAGAGAGGGGACAGACTCCCACACAGAGAACGACGCATGAGGATCTATCCAAGGTCAAGGAAAATGAAGACATCCATGAAGTTGAAGGGACGAGGAAGGAAGCTTCCCTCAATCAAGACAGCATAATCTTACTGATGTTGAAAATTCAGACTTTCAGCCTTCAGAATGTGGAGAAAATAAAATTCTGCTTTTTGTGTCACCCATTATGTAGTGGTTTGTATGGCAGCCCCAGGAAACCAAGACACAAGGGCAACCAGGGCCACAAGGCCTTGATGCCAATCTACCAACTTCTCTTCTTTTGAGACTTCTAGTGTTGCTGCTTCTGGGTTTAGAGAAGTGACCTACATCCTCAAAGGTTTGGGGTTCCCTGAGATATTTCTAAAGTACACATAGTTTTGAATGAGAGCCTAAAATAAATCGTTACATCATATTCTCAATCACCTGGATTTGCTCCCTGCTGCTGGATGTTGGTACACAATTTCACTACCTGTCTTTACTTTTGCATTGGTGTCAAATGGCATTTTAAGATCTCTGGCCAAAAATAAAGAACAGAAACACCGAGGTGAGCTTAATTCTTCAGTGATAGAGACAGTGATATATGAACAAGCGATTCATGTGAGTTCAACGCAGAACAATGGCAGAAGAATGAAGTCATCACATGCCACCAGAACTACAGGCCTGCCAAACTCAAAAGCATTCATGCTGAAACGGCGTACTACATTCTGAATGCAAGTACTAATTTCATTTCAGCACAATATCAGTCCTTGTGGTATTAACTTTATTAACTTGCATTTCATTATTTTCAAGTTTTGTTTTCACTTAATGTGTATGTGTGTGTGTGTGCGTGCGCATTTCTTTTACAACTGTGTAAAAGCAAAAAATAAGAGTGTATAAATTTCAGATAACTTTATAATTAAAAGTCAACATAGGATGTCCATGAACTATTTCCTCTGAAAGCAATGCATACAATACACAAACTTTAAAATGGTTGGTTTTGTGTATGCATTCTTTGATTTAATAATGGTAGTTTCCTTTGTAAAGTTGTTAAAACTTCATAACCTACTATTTAAGTGTTCTTTCTTAATGTTATATAAAAATAACCTTTTTTAAAGAAGTAAAAGAGGAAAAGCATTGTAAACAGTGGAAATAGATTCTATGACTTTATATCCAAACCAATTCAGTTCATCCATTTACAAACACGTGTGACTCAACTTCTCTTTTTGCTGCCCCTTTTCATTAATATGCAACCCTATGGAAGCCCCCCAAACTCACAACCTGGAACAACTATTAATGAATTTCCAGACTGCCCCTCAATAGTTTACTGTATATTTCTGATTCATCACTCATTATGGCTCATTTCAGCGTAAATAATAGTTAAAAAAAGAAAACAAAAATCCTCCCAACTGGATGGTAAGAATGAGAAACATCATGGTAACAGGAACTCTCATACGCTGTGGGGCTGTAAAATGGTACAACCACTCTGGAAAGCAGTTTGGCATTTCCTCAGAAAGCTGAACATAGAAATTCCATATGACCCAGCTAATCCCACTGCTAGGAATATACTTCAAGGAAATTAGAACTGAGACACAAATGGAGACTTGTACACCAGTGTTAGTAGCAGCGTTGTTCACCATTGCAAGAATATGGAAACAGCCCAAGTGTCTAACCACAACAGAACAGATGAAGAAATTGTGGTACATTCACACAATGGAATACTACACAGCACTCTGGAGCAATGATTTTAAAAAAATTACTACATAACTTGGAAGAGAATGGAGAACATTATGCTGAGTAAACTAACTCAGTCTCTTAAGGACAAACACTGCACATGAATATTATTGTAAAAATAGGATAACTAGTAGAATGTCTTATGGGCATCCACAAGGTGTAGGAGGAGCAGAGGGGTGAGGATGGGAAAGAGAGAAATCACAGGGTCACATGATTTTGTGGGTGGAGGGAGCAAAGGAAATGGAAATGATCCAGCGGGGATCTAAAAAGAAGGATCAGATCAATGGTAGGCATAGTTCAATGGTGACGAATTTCACAAA